AAAAAAAAAAAGTGTTAGCAGAGAGGGGTCAGGAAGCTGTTATAGTTGTCTAAGCCAGAACGTGGCCAACGAGGGTTGTGATAAGGCGGCAGACCAGAACATCTGTGGAAGAGCAGATGACTGGGGTTATGTTTTGAACGGAGAGCCGAGAAGACTGGAACATGGCCTGGATCGGGCAGGAGAGAAAGAGAAGGAAAGGAGAATTTAGCTTTGGGACCTGAGCCTCTGGGTGAATAAGGATAGGAAGAGAGGGAACGAGGCCAGGGGGAAAGATCAAGAATTCTGGTGTTGACATGCTAATTTTGAGATGCCTCTGGGAAATCCAAGAGGAGAGGTTGAGAAGAAAGGGGGCTAGGTCCGTCTGAAGTCCACGAGAGAGGTGGTAACTGTATAGGAGCCAGCAACGTTCCGTCCCGGGTGGTAGAACTTTCTGCGGTGATGAAGATGGTCTATATCTGCCCGGTCCAGTCTGACGGCCACTAGCCCTGTGTGCTATTGAGAGCTTGACGTGTGGTTAGTGCAGCCAAGGCGCTAAATGTTACTTAACTTCAATTAATTTAAATGGGCAGCAGCTATCATATTGGACAGCACGGGAGGCAGTTTTTTGGTTCTTTTTTCTTCTTTTTCCAGTGTTTAGTTTTGAGAGCGCGCGCGCGCGCCAGAATCCAAAGCAGGCTCCAGGCTCTGAGCCTGAGGCGGGGCCTGAACTCACGGAACTGTAAGATCATGACCTGAGCCAAACAACCGCCTGAGCCACCCAGGCGCCCTATGGAGACAGTATTTAAATGCGCGGGTCTGGATGAGATCGCCAGGGAGGGAGGACGAAGAAAAAAGAGGAGACAAGGGCACTACTGCATTTAGAATACTGAGGAACTGTCCAACAAAGGAAAAAGTCGTGGAGGTAGCAGGCAAAAATCAGAGAAGGGCAAATCCACCCAGCAAAGCTGCTTCCCGCTGGGAGTGACGGTACCTTCCGCACCCTCGTTGCATGCTGGGAGATGTAGTCCCTCTCGGTGGAGGCTGGGGACTGTAGTTCCCTCCCTGGATGCTGGGCGTGTCCTAGGGTGATGTGAGCTGCTGTAACAGATAAACCCCCACGTCTCGGTGGCTCAGCCCCATAGAAGGCTGTTTCTCACGCGTATAAAACTCAAACAGGTGTTCCTGACCGCAGGGGGCTCTCCTTCAAGGGATGTCTCAGGGACTCAGGCTCCTCCCTCTTGCGGCTCTGTAATCCCCGAGGACCTCAGAGCTCTCTGCTGGGGCCTCTGCCCCGGTGCTCAGGCAGGGAGGAGAGTCAGGTGCACGGGGAGGCGAGAGAGCTTTGACGGATAGGCCTAGAACTCAGTCGCCAGGCGACACCTACCCCAGGCCTAGCTCTGTGCTTCAGCAAGACAGGCAGAGGGGTCTGGTGAAGAGCTAGGCCACCGGGGTGCCCTTGTCAGCTGCCGGGAGATGAGATCCCTCTTGACCACTGGGAACCGAAGGCCCCTCAGGGACTGCTGGGAGCTGTGGCCTCCGCACGTCACGGGGCCTGACACCCCCCTCCTCCCCGCGCAGGAGAAGGGCTCCACCTTCCTGCAGCTGGGCTCCTCCACAGAGCAGCAGCTCCAGGTAATTTTCGAGGTGCTGGAGGAATACGACTGGACGTCCTTCGCAGCGGTGACCACGC